TCACTGCAACATCTGGCAGAAGCTGGGCAGGCAGCGGCAACATCAAGGCACCCTTCTGTCCAAAGGCTCTCAAGCAATTTCAGAGCTAAAGAAAGACACCATTCAGTTTTTGTTCAACCTTCCACTCCTTGGTCATTTTCCCCTTCCTATGAGGTTACTGTGTGTTTGTTTGTTTGTTCATTTGCAACCTTTTCTTTTTCGAGTGCTTGTCGGTACAAAGCTAGCCGGCAATCTTCCATGATCAATTGCTTTGTTTGAACACTGCAAATCTCTTGAGCATTCAATGAAAAATTCAGAGTTAAGCTTTATTGATTGCAAGGAATGGACAAATAACGCTGTTATGCTATGCCTTTGTAGAAATAAATGCCCATCATTCTCAATCGCTTTTGCAATGTTTCATTTTTTGGCAAGAGCCCACCCAGGTGGTCTGCCTGTTAGCCTGTAGTATTCCAAATAACAACAGCAGTTAGAGTTTGACTTAGGATCATGTACAAGCACAATTTGTTCCAGAAACAAACCAAATCTGGGTTAATACCACAACGACATCAGTACATTTAATATTTGCTCCCCTCTTTGTTTTCTCCCTCTGCTCTCCTTCACGCACACACATTCAGGAAGCATTCAAGGTTTTGGTCCATTATGTTGTTTTATTTCTACAGGGCAAATAAAAACAAGAAAACCCATAATCTAGTTTGGATGATCCAAAGTAATCTCCTATAACTACAGGTCCACACAAATCCATAATCCTTTATCTGTAGCTAACATCAAACTCTATTTTATACACAGGGGGAAGAAGGAAAAAAAATGTTATTGCCCTCTAAAGGGTGAGATTAAGTTGGAGGTCCGCGTGGCTCAGAGAGAAAAGATCATTAGCCTTGATCAGATTGATTAAGATCAGGCTGGGCAGCTCAGAACATCCCTCACCCAAACAAAGCACCAGGTCACGAAATCTATCAGCCAGTCTCAGAGGCCAGGCACGCTGACCACGGGTACTTTTGATCTGTTGCTGCCAAGTTGTGTGTATAGGCTGCTTTTCTCTCGGCCATGTTCATGGTTAAAGTCACTGAGTGTTAGGTAATCTGTTGGAGGAGATTAAAAATGGCCATTCTTTATCTTCTGAATGAGCAGCTGCAGAAATGTGCAATCCTGCAGTTCATTCTTTCATTCTGTTTGTCCTTTATATACATTCAAAACAATACTATCAGCAGTAACACAACAGTTATAAGTATTCTCATACGACGGCTCTTTTGATACGAAACATGATGCACAATTTCTCAAGGATGTCAGCCCTGAATCAACAACTCCTGATGCTTTGTTAATGAACTGTAACAAATCCTCATAGTGTGAGGTACAAGTTCTAGGTTCACTTTCGGTTTTTATTCAGTCTGTGGTGGAATTTCTTTAGTTATTTAGATTATAATGTACAGACGTCATTAGGTTTATTCACTGTTCTCTAATGTCAGTCAGACCTGATAGAGTTCAGCTATGACTAGAACACCAAGTACAGCTTAGAGAGTGTCAACTGTTTTTCCTCTGATATCTGCAAGGATGTTTGGTAGACTTGTTGTCTGCTCCAGTGTAATTGACGTCACAGATTAGTCTAGGTGGGTCAATGTGACATGACCCTGATAATGATAATGTCTTTTGGGATATATGCGATGCCTTTCGAAGAGTTCTGTGATTCTGTGATTGAGCAAGACACAAGTACAGAAGTGTGATGTTGAATCATGTCTCCTCGAGTATTCATCTTTTGTATAACTTTCATCAACGTAAGCCATCTGAGTCAACTGAGTCTTATTGTGTGAAGTCAAGTTCTTAGTCATTTCCTCAACACAGTGTACTTAGTAAAAGCAGTACTTACTCTGACCTTATGAACAGCTCCCTACAATCACTCCAAGCTGCTTAATTGGCTTTTCAATTACCAAACTTCACATGCTAAATGGCTGCAGAAGTTGCCTTGAAGATCATATTGTAGCAATTGCATTGCATATAGCATTTATTTGGTTAATATTTGAGTTAGTGTAAAGCATAATGAGTCTCTAGCAGACACTAAAGGTGCCAATAGACCCTGTGATGTTCCCATAATTACCGGGGTGGTGAATAAACATATTCATCCTGGCTAGTTGGCACCTGAAAAGTTAAGTTGAACTAATGATTACGTTTGTATTACTTCCGACCCACAATGCCAGTAGAATGTTGTGTAAGATGCAACGCAACCACCCACCGGTTAAATGCTAGTATAATACCATAATGCTTGATTATTCAGATGTGATCCAGCGCAGTGGCATTATGAAGCATGGAGAGGTTTGGCAGTATTTTGATCCAGAAAATAGAGATTAAGTTGTACGTAGGGTGTTTCAGGTTAAAATGGCATATAACCACTCCAGAGCATAACCACACTCAGCACCTGCATGTGGACTTCAACATACAAGAAGGGCTGAAGGCTAGTAGTGCTACTATGCTAAAGTTAGCCACACCAATTTGTTCATCACCAAAAATTCATTTTGACGGTTTTCTGAGCATTTTCTTAACAGAAGTCTAATCGGCTTGTCTGAGTTTTAATTTGTGTTTAATCGGCATGGAGATTAGTCGCTATAGGGATATCTCTCATGATCACTGCAAACGCAACCTGGTGCAATGAACTGTTCAATGCCATGCACAAGGGCACAGAGTTGCTAGTTTGCCTTTTGTCGAATAGATCCTGGGTGTTAAACTGACCATAAGCCATCCATCCAACCTCAAGACTATCACTGCAGTCAGCTGTAGTTTCATTTCTTTATTAGCTTCCGCAGGAACACAGCTGAACTCTGCATTACATTGAGCTAAACCTATGCTTACATAATGAAACTATACATCACACATACAGTCCTCCAGGGGAAAAGACATGCTTTGTTAGCATCAATGGCTGGCTGGTAAAAACAGGTCAGTGTCACAGCCGCATCATCAATCGCAGCCTCGTGGAGGAACGAGGGCCACCGGCCACCTTCCAGGGGCACGGGCCTCTCTGGGGCTTTTAAAGTGTCTCTACATCATCAATCTCAACCAGCTTTTGAACACATGGTGTCCGACAGTAATTAGACCAAATATGTTCAGAGGAAAAGTCTAAAAATAGGAGAAAGGAGTGAAGTAGCACCCTGAGGGTTTTCGCATGAGAGATTATGAGCCATTAAATAAATCTATCGAGCTGTCTTGTTGACACACAACACACTGGAAACTGGGGACACGACTTCCTGTTTTTCATTAAATAATTTTGCTTCAGAGACCATAAATTAATCCAGGTTAGTTAATTAGTACTTTTTGTTTGAATAAGAGCATCCCTTAAACATTATATTCTGACCCTGAAGTGAGTTATACAGTCTAAAGTTTTAGAAAATGCTTGATATCTCAAGGGATCTTTCACATTAGAGTAAAGGTGGTGCTGGAGAAAAACACCTAGACCTCTGCACAAGGAGAGGTGCTCCCCTCTTAAATTGCTAAAGGCATACATATTTAAAAGGTAGCTTAAAACTACAACATATGCCCTTGCCAAGTGAAAAGAAATATCTGCAGAATATACTTCAGACAAGTCAGAAAAAAGTGCACTTTCTGATTTACAAGGGTAGACGTTGATTTTATACACAACTACAGCATACAATGCTTTATGGTACATTACCTTGTACTTTAATTTAAGGACATATCGGTGTAATTGGGTAGCCTGATTAAAGTCAACAGAAAGAGACCGGGGTCCGAGGGGAATTATCCATCCTTCTTTAGGTCTGCCAGCAAGTAAATCCAACTCTCTTCATTCCCCACTTTCTCTTTCCCTCTCAAAGCTTTCATGGCCCTCGCTCTTCTCAACATCAGTCTGGAGGGGCTACTCAGTCAGACGGAATTGTGCAGTTACCACCATTGATTCCTGTTTCCTGCCTTCCCCCCTGACATTTTCCCATCAAGGGCTTCAGTGGTGCTGACATGGGTCTGGGACGCAAGGGCACTCATACACGCCAACAAGTACACAGAACTACAGTTACAACACGAGGCCTGAATCTCATGAAGGAACACACTGAGACTTTCAAACAGTCTAGACACACACACACACCAAATATCAAACACACACCAAAAAATAAAATTGAGTTCTCCGAGTTAGCAAATAACAATGACGTGGTTTTATATCTCCAATTTGCAACAAGACAAACAACTTGTGTTAAGTATCAAGACTGAGAAATAAATGCAGCATTAACTTCTACAGCTTTAAAGAAAACCTGGAGGAACAGGACGTTTTTCACAGTGATTTCCCCTGCTGGTACAGAATGTGTGATAGGTAATCCATCACCTCAAACTCTGCAACGAGGAAATGATGCAAATACAAGCACACACCAACAAAACTATTTACTACTCAATGCATAGCTTCAGAAAAGCCTGTTTGTCCAGATCAGAATGTCTGTCTGAGTCGACTGTTAACAACCATGTCAATCAGAGGATGAGCCTCTTTCTGAACATTGCAGAAGTGGAGATAGGCAACAGCTTGCAGGATGATCAATCCATAAAGTCTGCTGCATCCAGCGCTGCTGTAGTGCTTGGCCAAAGGGCTAATAAGGCCCCTCAGGGACCCTGACAGGCAATCTTGGTTCAACTTTGTTGGATATAGGACATGGAATAAAGCATGGATCTCAAAATCACCATGACATATCTTGTTAACTTTGACAAAACCTTGTTAACTGGAAAATTGCAAAGCTGTCTTGACATTGTTTCATTCAAGAGCACCAATATATTCCTAAGTGAAATATGTAGCAGTTTGATTATATCTATAGAGATAAACCACAGTCAAAACAAAATTAAATTAAAACAGACAAGATAAAAGTAGAGAGGTAAAACTGGGATAATTTTGGAAGTGCATCAATCACGTTTGTCATAGTGAGAAAACTGTAATTTAGGCCCCTGGAAGTCACGTATAACCGCAGTCCAAACTGACAATGCCCCTCCGCAGAGGGAGGGCACACAGCATTAACAAGCAGCCAGCATCAGCATCCATGACAGCATTGAGGAAAGCCGTCAGAGGGCCTGGAGAGCAAAGCATCAGTCTTACCTTCAACAGCATACTCTTCAGCTTCAGGGGGAAGAGACCATGGGGAATGCATGAGAAAGGGAGAGAAAAAGACACAAGAGAACACTCATTAGATGTCACATTTCTTCAAATTAATGTCTTCCTGTTTTCTTCTTCAAATGTAATCTTAATGAGATATATCTAAATATAACGGCCCATAAGGCTTGGGATCTTGGCACTTGGCATGAAAACAAATTTCTGCACTGAATTTGTAATCAGATGTCTTTTTTCTTTCTGTTGACTTCCTTTAAGGTCTAAAATTGGCGTAATTGTATCATACACTATTTAGAGTCTTAAAGAAATCTCCAATAGCCATGTAGAGATCCCTCAACCACCATACTGTCTCCACACCACCTCCCATTGGGAACAGTGCGGCTTCAGTCAAAGAGAATCCCCAGATGAGAGTCAGTAACTCTCTCACACTTCTCTGTGGCTTAATGATACAGTCGGGGGGAGTCAGAGAGATCAGGCTCCAGCAGGACGCTTCACTTGAAAAAAAAAAAGCTGCCCTACAGCAGTAGACGCCAATCTGTAATGCTAGAAAGTAAAAAAAAGTAGCCGCCTGCCACTCCAGTAACCCCATGTTGGACCGATGAGGCACTCCCCGAGAATGTAAAACAGCCTCTAGCTTGGCAGGGCGTCCCTGTGGAGAGCTTGGCATTTTGATCTGCTGCTGTGGCTTGTGGGCCTGGGTCTTCATGGGACGCCTCGGTATTAAGCTGTAACATGGTCAATAATATTTTAATGTGACTGCACACTGCACTGGTTCAATGTCTTTGTGTCTGGAACAGTGTCTCAGTATTTACTGCTGCAGGCATTTTTGTGCAACAGCAGTATACAATTTATGGAAAACTATAGAGGTCGGGCAAAGTGAAAAGTGTTCCACATTAGAGGGTTTTGAAGGGTACATTTGTTCTATATTTATACTCCCTATAAGTGTGTTGGGAAGCTTACATATAATTTATATCTGAAGACCAAAACAACCATTTGGGGTTCAAATTGTTGAAAAGCAAAACAAGTTGATTAGTCGTCAATACCAACAACGTTCTTAATACTTGAATCCCTGAATCTATTTTCTTGCAGGGGCCTATACATGGACCTCATCTTCTGTTGGCTCATGAATATTGTACTATGTTAGACAAAAACAATGACTTTATGGAACTAAAGGGGATACTATAATCATGACTCTGTCTAGCTATAGGACACCAACCATACACCTGCAATGTATCCTTGTGCAATAGCTCATATGCATGGTTTATGCGTCATTCTAAAAATATCCAATGTTCTCATGCATAGGTCTCAAAAACTGATAATTTATCATAGTCTTTCGGTTTCTACTCAAACAGACCCCCATCATATCATCTGTTTCAAACCTTTTCTGTACCTATATGTATCTATTAGTATCTATATGGGAATCCTTTTTGCTCACTTGTCCGATACAACTATCAAATTGCTGTTTCCAAATATCTATATACATTATATTTTAAAGAATTTATCCTAAACACATTTCTTTGCAAATTTGACTAATTCCCACTTCATGACTTCTCACAGCGGTGACTATGACATGAAAAAGGGTAATGAGAAGAAATGTTAATTGGCCAAAAAAAGACGCTGACAGCAGGGTAAAATATGAAGAAGAAGAAGACAACGAGTAAACAATGAAAATAAGTCAAAGGGGGAGATCGTCATGTGGTCAAACTTACACTGAGTAAATACATGAATCCCGCCCTTTCCCTTTTTAGGAGAATTTTAAATTCATATCACAAATCATAAATGAGCATTATATGATTGTCTTACAATATATTAATGATCGCAGATCACTGTATTGTGATACTATTTGGCATAGCATTCCATTTTGCATCTTAATTTTGTATCTATCATTAAATCATAGGTTACCTAGCGACTACCACCCCTATCTTTGAAGGTATATTTTGGTGTTTGTTTAAATTATTTTCTAAATTTTGGGTTCATGAGAAACTAAACATTTGGTTTCAGATCAGTTAATAAGAAAAACCTTGTTCATTAAGTTTGGGAAACACATCATGGTGAGGCTCAAAATAATGTCTAAATGATGACCTCTTGTTTTAAAATGGGAGTCAAACCTTTGATTCGACCCATCCATCACTCTTTGATGCACATCCAAGTGCTTCACCTCCCTCGTGCCTTTAGATTTGACCTCCAAATTGGCTCACAGTCAATTGGGTTAAAGAATGATAGTACTATCACTTTTCTCTGGTAAAAGTAAGAACAGTGGATGAGACAACCCAAGGCTGGTGTCACTATGAATCCTTGCTAACTTGATTTCATTTGGACAAGGTGAATGTCCCGAGTAGCCCCTTTTTACTACACACCATCACCATTAAACGTTACAGATTAAACGCTCCCTTAGAAAGAACACAGCCTGGGGTGCTTTTTTAAAACAGCCAAAGGGACAGCAGCAGTGTGACTGAAAACTGGACTGATTGACAGAGCATTTGCCAAGCAGAAGCATTGGAACCATGTTTGTCTGATGTAGTGGTTGTTTATATAATCACTGGCCGTGACTCTGCATTTCCTCTCGTCTCATCTCTGATCACAGTCCATCATCCTCTCTTTAACTGTGCTCCCCTCTTATCCCTCCCAAAGCTGCAGCGAAAGGCTGTTTGATGTACACTGGAGGTTGTTTATATCATCATCAGCCACGACTCTGCCTTAAACCTCCACTTATCTCTCAACAAAGTCTCTAATCCTTCCTTTTGTTGTCGTCCATGTGTTTGTCATAACTGTGTTTCATCCATTCTCCAGTAATACACAGGGAGACTGTTTCTATTCACACATGTAGAGATACACCAACAACTACTTTTTGTTTAATTCTGTCACACATGAATGAAATTGGTTGGGATGTTGTTTTTATTTGGATCAGCTCATGCAGACTGGCACCTTCCTCCGATTTGAATGGAACAGTTTTGATTGATTAATGGAAAGACTATTAACTTCTCGCATAATGCACCATTTAAGAGGCAAACAAACATTTTTAGAAAAAAAAGAAAAACAGGGGTTCCAATTTCAAGACAAAGCTTTGTGTTGAGTATAAAAGAGAAAAACTTGGAGAGCCACTTAAAAAGTAATTATATTCCAAAAAGCTCGATCTGAGGTGTTCTGGTAAACAACATTAAAGCTCTAAACTGTTACCATGTTTCCCCTCCATTTTGCCCTTGGAAGGCTTTTCTTTTGTTTATAAAATTTAAGAAACACCACTGAAAATGGAAACAAGCAGCAAATGGAAAGCACCATTAATTGTTTGGATCTATACCATTTGCAAGGCTGACTCAGTCTTCATAGTTATTCCTTTTGAGCGAGCAACATTTTACACTGGGGATAGTTGTGTAATCTGGCCTTAGAGAAGAATTACGATTTCAGTCAGACACTTGGCGGGATATACTCTGTCTCTCAAAGCTTGTCCCTTTTATCCCATCGATGGTTTCCACAAGTCTTTACCACCCATTACCTTTATCCCAGAGCTGTTTTTTTCCCCATTAGGGTATATAGCCTCAGGCTTTTTAGCTCCACTGGGATCCTCTAGTCTTTTCAGTGTACTTTGTGATTCATACTGGGATGTGAAGAAGGCTTTTCAGGGACAACACTCAGGCCTCCCTCTGTATATGTGATGTCCTGGTGCAAAAAAGGGGCCTGTTGCTTTAGCTTAAGATCCTGTCTATAAATGTATTCTAATCTTTGCCATCCAATCGCAAAAAAAACAGCAAAATCTAAAAGGTTAAACTGCACACAAACTCGGGTTAAAATTGACAGACATTTCTTAAATATATCTCCAAATGAGTGTGCAATACCTCCAGCAATGGCAGTCAAATTTATCAAGGAGACAGTGACAGGGTAAAAAAAAAAAAAAAGGAGCAGAAATCAGACGTGGGCTGCCATAAAAATAAATAATTAAAATAAATACCAAAGTCAAATTCAGATAGAAGCAGCGGAGAAGCTGGATTTCTCCACCAATGAATCCCCGAGGGCTTTGGAGGCAAATGAGAGACTTTTCAGACCTAATCCTCACGAGCTAACTAAAGGATTTACAGAGAGGAGAAAAGCATGTCTGCATTGAAAAACAACCCCCTTTTCTCTATCACTATCCTCCAATTTTCTAGCAGATGACGGCTGTTACACAATTATCTGTTAGTCTGATACAAAAAAGAACCATGAATTTTAAACTGCAAAATGCAAATGTAGTGAAGCAGTTTTAGGACAATCATAATATAATCAGCATTATGCCCAGTAAATAGTATTAAAAGTACCTAGGGACTGTGTTTTACAAAACATTACAGTGAAACATTGATAAAGATACGCAGCCTTTGAAACGAGACACAGTTGCGTCCTGAGAAAAACTTTGGTGTTTGATTTTTGACTTTAAAAGGAAAAGTCATCTATTCTATTCAGAATAATCTGCTCATTATAGATAAAAAGGGGCTAAAGCACAGCAAGTCCTCACAGAGGGAGTTCAAGCTCAACATCACAGGCAGCATGAAAGTGACTGCATGATTTGCATGTGCCGTTCGAGCTGAGGTTCAGACTGCAAAGAGAGGTGTACACAAATAAGTAATGGGCATGGCGCTCCAACACAGTTTTTCTAAATTGCATGAAAGAGACACAAACAGAAAAAAAAAAACACTAGGGTGCATTTTTACCTATTGATGTTGTTTCTTTTCACATTTCAAGGAATAATATGAGTCTTTCAGAGTAGATGTCCAGTAGATGTCTCACTGTAGCATCAGTCTCTCTGACCAAAATAAAGCTTTCCGCACACCAGCCGTCATAGCCTCACTCTAGCCGTTTTCACAAATGCACTCTGGGAAATATCTAGATCATTTTGGGAGACACTCTATCCACCTAGCAGCGGTAACAGTATAGAAACCTCACTCCTCCTCCTTCTGGCTCGAGCTGAATTCTCCAGAGAATATCCTGCTGCGTTCTCACATCAGCCCACTCAGACTTGCTGCGGAAAAAATACTAGTTGT